CGCGGGGGGGTCCGGGGGCTGAGGGGAGGCTCCGGGCCGGGGGGGGCCGCGCCGCCGCCTTTGTGTGCGGGCGGGAGCCGCGAGCGGCCCCAACTTTCCCTTTGTTGCGGTGCGGGGCAGCGCGGCCGTCGTGAAGGGGGGGGCGGGGGGAGCGGCGGCGCTTCTGGCGGGAGGACGAAACCCCGGGAGCACCGGGCGGGCGGCGCTGCGATCCGCTTCGCCTGACGCCGAGCCGCGGGGTCGCAAGGAGCCCGGGGAGTTCGGCTCCGGCCTGAGGGAGGCACCGTGCGGGGGCCGGGCGGGACGCGAGCTCGAGGAGGAGCTGGCGGCGGTCAGACGGGTCGGTGCCGTTAAGGAGCCGGCGCTGCCCGGCGGCGGATTCGTAGCTCCGATGAGGGGAGATCGCGGGTGTTCGAGGCGCTCAGACACGGCGCTGCCAACGCTTGTTTTCCCCTCGTCCTTTTTCCCGTGGATATCGGAGGCTTCGCGTGAGAAAGGGACTCTGAAAGTGGCGGCGATCCGGGGCTGGCACGGCCTTCGCTGTTGCGCAAGTTCTGTTTGTCCTCGTGGATGCGCTTGATCCGGCGACAGCCGCACACGCGGTGCTTTACGGAGCGTTGAAATCAGGGTTGAATTCAGCTGTTGCGCATCCAGAGATCGCTGCTGAAGAGTTAAAGGTCGTTGCGGAGGTGCAGCGGCTCCGTCACGCACTGCGACGGAGAGAGCGGGCTGAGCGCCGCGTGCTGCGGGTCGGAGCGGCGCTGCTGTGAGCCAAAGCACCGCGCTGTGAGCGGCTGCTGTGCGTCTGCACCGCGCTTTCAGTGAAGGAATGCTGCTGGGGAAACCGAGTCCCGCTCGGCTCGGGCCGGCCCTGCGCTGCTCGCGGTGTGGAAGTGCGGAGCGCGGCTTCCTGCTCGCACCTCGGCGTCGTCTCTCATTTGGGGTTCACTTGCTGGTAGTTCTTCCCTGTCCACATCTGAGAGTTCACTGTTTCCTTCCTTGCTAAGATGCACTTAGTTGCTAATTGCTTTCTTTAAATGATTGCTCGGTTCTCGGCACTTAGACGAGCTGCACTTGTACACCAGTACTTTGGTGGTGGCAAAAGTGGTCTGTGTTACAGAATCCATCTTTCAAGATCTTATTTTAATCAGCCTCAGGGTTTCCTTTGGTAGTGTTGTATCCGCCCCCCTCCCTTCATCTCTCTCCTCTTCCCCCGCTTTCCCCTTTGATATCCATTTCCACACTGAAATTTCTTAGCACTTCTGCTGGGACTCACAGAGTGAAGCATAGCTGTGTGCTCACCATCAGCGGAGTTAACTGGTAGATTCAGGTGAGTCGGGAAATGGAGTTGCTTGAAAATTCAGCTTTTCTCTTACAAGACACACACATGTGAGTTCTTTCACATGCGTGTTTGGTTTGAGGACGTATGTGAAGGTTTCTGAAGCTGTTCTGAGTCAAAGCAGAACTCAAGGCTTCTGCTTTCAAGTTGCTCATTAGGAAGGAACAGAGAGATGCTGAGATTGGTGGTTTGAAAAGCTCACCTGTAACGCCATACAGCGATTGAGATGGAATGGGAGAAAAAGGTAATGTATGAGTTCCACAGGAACAGCCAGCTTTGAGCTGCATTGCTTTATGTGCTGTGAAGGACTGTCTGCCCCATAGCTGACTGCTGAGAGTTCTGTATGAGAATTCTCACTGGTGGACGAGTGTGAAACTTCTGCTGCAGCATCGCTGTGGTTCTCACCTCGAGCGTTCCATCAAGGCTTTGGGTTGGGGTTCTGTGGATTGTTGTTGTTTTTGTTTTTTTTTTTCCCCACTGTGTGGAGTGAAACCTCCAGAGCTGCTGTTGTGTCAGCAGCGTGTTGTTAATTGCTGTGTGTGTGAACTCTCCACCTTCCCTGAGCACTTCAGCAAAACGAGCTGAGCTGTGCTGGGCAGCAGGAACCCCCACCTCTCTCTTCAGTGCAAGACCTTCCTCGTTAGCACGAAGCCCTTGATGAACAATTGCTCTGGAGCACATGAGCTGCACTAAGCAATTTCAACGTATATATATTATTTAAATCAGAAATCAATGTATTCCTAACATTCAGTGCATAAACCAGAACGTGCTGCGTGTTTCTTCCTGCTTGTGCGCCCTGCTGCTGCCGCTCTCCACTTCTGAGATCAAAGATGGCTCTGGTGATGCTGCGGAGCTGCACACAGCTTTGCCACCACTGAGTTATGGCCCCAGCATGCAGGCAGCAGCACAAACAGCCCCTTCACCAAGGGCTGAGGGAGGGGAGGCAGAAACCCACGCGGAGTTCTGTGAATGTCATCGAGAAGTAATTCCTCCGTGGTCTGAGCAAGTTTGTGGAGCGCCTGCAGCGAGTAATTCCTATGGCAGTACTGAGCACAATGCAGACTGAAGTGCTCTTTATTGCGCTGTTTTCCGCTGCTTTTGAAGGCTCTCCCCCTCCCCCCCCATACTGTTGCAAAGTGATTTAGTACCATAGGTAGAAACAAAGAGAACTTGGCTGCTTTGTGCTAAATGTTGTTAATTAGCTGACAGTAATGAGCTGATGTTAACTATTACACCTCCAGTGCATGACAAAGATGGGTTTGAGATCTCTGAGGAAGTGCCAGCAGTCTTGTTATGGAGCACCTTGGGTGGAAGCCGTGCTTCAGAAGGAAGCTCACAAGGCAAGGTCCAACAGTCGGGCAGCTCAAATATCACACCGTCCTTTTCAGAACCTCCCTGAGAAAGCAGCAGCACAACGTGGGCAGCTGGTTGTGTCTCAGGCTCTTCCTCCCGCAGCGCATGCCTGCCCTCGTCCCTCTGCTTTGCTCTGTGGTTCAGCCTTGTGTTCAGGTGAAGAAGAGCACTGAAATGTGTGGATGCAAGGGCTCAAAGCTGGGACAAGTGCATCTGGAATGTTATCTCGTGTAACACGTTGGTCGTGACAAATGTGTGGTCACAAGAGGAGATGTGTTTTCAGTGTTTTCTAATTGAAATGCAAAAGGCCGCTTTAAGTAAGGAGAAAAAGCACATTTTCAGACACAGGAATTTCTACAGACCACTGCTAAATAACAGCTCCATCTCGGTCTTCAAAGGTTTTATTTATTACAGTACACCTCAGTGTGTAGCATATATCACAAAACCTTTGACACCCCAGGCTCTAACCAAGTGTACTGGAAAAGAAGCTTTCTTTTTTTTGCTCTGTGTGAGCCCAGTGGTGGATTTGAAAGAATCAATTTAATGGAGAAAAGCTCCAGTTCATTGATGCTCTTTTCAGTCTTTTCAGTCAAACCATAGAAGATCAAGCCAAGAGTTATGGGCCGCAGCTGCATTCTTCCATTGAGACCTTCTATAGGACATCAGCTGAGCTGACGAAGAAATGGTGACCACAGCTATGTGCCCTTATTCACTCTGAAATGCAAATCCGTCCCCTTGATTGAGAAGCATTGCTTTGTAACCATATTTTCCCACTCGCTTTCAGTGGGCGGCTTGGATTTGGTTAAGAAATACTGTCCTGTAATTACATTCTGTCTCTCTCTCATGCTATGAAAAGCCTCTGAAGAGAATTTGAGGATTTGGTGAGGAAGAGGGATCTTTGCAGCCAGTCTTGGTGGCTGTGCAGATAGAGCAGTGCGTGGCTTTTAGCTGGAAACGCTGACAGGGTATCTTAAGCAGGGCAGTCAGTGCTGGTTTGTGTTTCTGCACCGCTGCTGCTTTGATCCCCCGTTTCCTGGAAGAGAGTAGTGGCTCTGAGCTGGGCTCCATTCAGGTGATGCACGCTAGGTGTGCTCTCTTTTTATTCCAATTGCAAAACTGTACACTGGATGAAATCTTTTCCTTCTTGTGGTGGGGCCGGCTCCTCTCCTGGTGCTGAAGCTAACTTCTCCATCTCGCTTCAGAATGTCACCTTATGTTGCACATTCAGTGCATTCCGGCTGAATAACAAGTGCCTTGTATGCAGAGAATCACACAGATGTGTGGCTGACTTCTAACCGAAGCATTATCTGCAGAAATATTGAACTGTAGGCCATCAGAACAAGTGATTTGTTCATATATTGCACTTCAGCTTTGGTGTGAATGCTTCTTCCCCCCCTCTGTGTGCAGATCTGTGTAACTGTCACGTGAGGGCCTTGTGGCTTTTTTGGCTAATTAGGGGTTTGCTTTTATATTCACTGTGTGGTTTTTGTTGCATGGCTCTGCAGTTGGCAGTGGGTGGTGGATTTTCTGGGTGGCAGTTCCAAGCACGGATCGGAGCAGCCCATGCACGATGCACGGCTGTGCAGGTGTGTGCTGGAGATGGGAAGCCGCAGCTCCTGATGAAGGGATGGTGGCTGGCTTGGGATGAGGGGCCTGATGATGAATAGGGAATCTTGGATGGTCTGCTCCTGAAAGAAAAAGAAAAGCTCATCACCTGGTGGGGACAGATTGGTGTCTGGCTTTGGGCAGGGAACGCAGGGCGCTCTGCTGTCTGCAAGCTCAACGTCCAAGTGCAGCACTGCACTCTTGCAGGAGTGATGCCTTTAGCTTTTCCTCCCAGTGACATTCATTAGTAGTTACCAGGTCACTTCCCTTTGCTTTCTCAGGGAAACCTTTTCCCTCCTCACTGCCCCTTCCCCTGCTTCTGTCTTGGAAACGCAGAAGGCAAAAGCGCCGCATGCACTGATGTGCCGAGCTGTCACCTGTGCCAATTAAATGGAAGTCATCACTAAATATCAGTCCAGGTGCATGGGAAGGCTGCTGCTGGCCTTCCGTGCTGCGTGGGGAGCGGGAGGAGGCCTGGTGGTGTGGCCCTGCACAGGTAGCGCGGCTCACCACTGCTGCCCTGCTTTGTTGGTGTGCAGGGAAGCTGCTGGCTCACGGCACAGAGCTCTTGGGTGCTGCATGTGCAACGTTCTGTGTACAAATAAGCCCCACTTAACTACGTGCTCGCTGTGTTCAGCAGAGAGGAGCCGAAGCTCGTTGCTGCATGGAGCGCTTCGTTTCCAGGCTCTGTAGCATCGGCCGTGCCTTCTGCAGCTTGAGCAGTGTGCTGGGAACAAAAGCGCCGTGCTGAGCACAAAGAGCAGCTCGCTCTGGATAGCTGCTTCTCCCCGAGGAGAACAAAGTTTGGGGATTTTTTGTCTTTTTTTTTCTTTCCATACACGCTCGCACACAAACATGGAAAAAATGTGTTTTAATTGGGGTGTGGGGGGGTTTATTCTAGGCTTAAAGCAGTATGAATTATTTCAGGGGAAAAAAATCCACACAGAACCCTGCTGTTCTTTTAAAAAAGAAAAACCACCCAAAGAAATCAAACCAGCCAACTGTTTGTGTGCAGGGGTTGGGAGAAAGAGCCCTCAGCCTGGGTTTAATGATGTTTAATCATTCTTTCGAAAATACAAAGGAGGTACTAAAAGCTGTTCAGCTAAGCTTTAGAGAACTAATAGCTATAACTCAGATTCAGAAGTGATTTAGTTCCAGAGGTAAGTCTATAATCCTACCAGCCATGAGTTAATCTGTCATCAGACTAAGGCTGGAAGCAAATCTATTTAACTAAGAATAGTTAATTCACCTGAATGTGCGCCACGATGAGGACCCTTCTCCAGCCACGAATTTGTTGTTGACAGGGATGATGATAGCTGCTGTTTGTCAAAGGCACACAGAAAAATATCATTTGGATTTTGTGGTGTGGAGTCTCTGAGCATTTCTGGTTCCTTTCGGATGCTGGAGAAATGAGCGAGTCCCCGAATGTGAGGGCTGATCTCCTGGGTATTGGAAGGTTGGAAGGTTGCAGGAGCAGCTTTTTGAGGTGGTGATGTCCAAACCAAATCCACCTCTCCCTCTTTCCTTTTCTTCTTGTCCTTTCGTTGTTTCACCTCAAAACAAATTGATACGATGGCCTCTGACCTCAGAGGAAGATAATTTACAGGGATAACAGATGCTGGCGAATTGGGCCTCAGCTGATCTTAAATTCTGTGAGAAGGCTGTCAGTCTAAGAGTTTGCAAATCAGGTCCCTCGTTCTGCCGTGGGAGAACAGCAGTGCTGCTCCTCAGAATTGCCTCCCATAGGCAGTGCCTTCAGCCAGAGCAAGACTCGCAGCACACAGATGAGCTGCAATCCCATTAGGAAGGGGCACGAGAAGCTGGAAACCTTTCGTTATTTTGGTCTTGTTTTAACCTCTGTTCTTCAGATGTCTCGAAGTGAAGCCTCGCAAAACGTGGCTGTGGAGCGCTGCGCTTCTATTTAATGCTCTTTGCCTATTCATTACAGCCGTGGAGATAATAAGCACAGCCTGCTGGGGCCGTCTTGTTCTTTATTGCTTCGGTAGATGGCACTGACATGCTCGTTTGAGTGATTGCTTTCTGTGTTGTATCAGCTGCGATGTTGTTTTAGATTAGTTAATGGTCTGTCCAAGATTTTGCCGAAATGAATATGAATTGGAATGGGGGAAGAACAGCAGAGGACTACCCATAACTTACAAGTGTTCACTGCCTAATCCGTCTTTGTGTCCATCACAAAGAGATTCTCGCAGACTGTTAGCCTGCTTCTGAATGCCAGGGCTGCTCAGCTGAGCTCTGCTGCAGCCATCGGTTGGTGTGCGAGCGGAGCCAAGAGAATTCTCTGATGTGCTGGGGCTGTGAAACTTCATCTCATACCTGTGACACAGCACTTGGGTCTGCTTTGCTTTGTTGGAATTGAGTGTATTTTGCTACCAACAGCTGTCAGGTTTTGTGACAGACTGGGGAAGGAAGCAAGATGCACAGGTCAGAATGCAGCCTGTTCTGACCTTGTTAATAAAGCTCTTTGCCAGCAGTGGGAAATTGATTTTGCTGATACTGTTGTGAAGGCAGGCAGAATGTGGGGAGAATTTTCCCTATAGAAGGTTGAATGCAGTTCTGAAGTATTTTAAAATTATGAAGTCTGAACTATTGCTGTCAGCCTCAACTCTGAATGTATTGCTTACATCAGAGTGGGACCAGTGTGATTTACACTGAGTATGACAAACGGTGTATTAAGAATATGGTATGAAAAAGTGTATTAGGATTATGGTCCAAAGAAATAATGGCTTCTGCATCCTGAAAGCAACCAAAATGAAAGAGAGCAGCTTTTTTGGCTGCATCATAGCAGGCTGTAATGAAAGGGAGTTCAGAGGTGGGGAAAGTGAGCGCAGGAGAGAATGGCTGTTCATCTGTCTCCTGTGCTCCTGCTTTGTTAGGCCATGCTGAAAGGTATCGGTGCTTGCTTTGCTTACCTTGGACTTTTCAGGTGTGCAGTTGTAACATTCCTTGTCCGCCTGTGTGCAGGTCCTGCCCTGTGGATACGGAAGCACGTGCTCTGCCCGTCCGAGCAGCGTCACCGCGCGCCCGTCCTTGCTGAGCTGGTCAGTGGTAAGTGGAAGGCAGCAGGAGGTGCCAGCTCCAGGTTTGGGGTGGTGGGGTGTCAGAACTGAAGTCTGGATGGCCAAATAGTGAAAATTGGCGTAGCTTTCACTTGGCATCAGTGCTGCTAATTTTACATCAGTTACAGCTCTGTTTTGTTTCTTTTCCCCAGTTTTGACTTTTACTGCTTTTTACAGGAGTGATGTTCAGGGACAAACATGTACTAAACTTTAAACTGCTCTGCCGTGCTGCTCTGATGTTGTCAGCAATTAAGGCAATAGAATTAACTGTAAATTCATGGATTCCATGAAGCTGGTTGCTTGGCTCATAAAGTGAGGTTATTATTCGATACTGGGCAGCTAGCATCTACCTTCAGAATGTTCTAATGCAAAGCATTTTTTCACGTTTTATTCTGGAAATTCAACCTATGTGTCTTTGCTGCAGTTGCTTTGGGCTCACACGGATGTAACACGCAGTGGAACTGCTGGGCTGCCTCTTGGCCTTGTTGACTGTTTCACTAAGAGTAGAGGAAATATTGTGAGTGGTTTTAATGCGGAACGCCTCTTTTATACGGTACATCCATCTCATGTTTCCCAGCTTATGAACACTTCAAAAAGCCAAACCAGAAGTAAAACCTGTGCAAAGAAAAGGGAAAGGAGGGATTTTATGTGTTTCAATAAACAAAAAAACATAGACTTCCAGAAAGCCACGAACTAAGAAGTGTATAGCATTTTGAGAATGCTCTTTAACATTCACAGGCATTGTATAGAAAGTTCCCAGACTTTCACAGAGCTGTAGGATGTGTATTTTTTCTTCCTATTTAGTTTAAGGTGACTGTAAAAAATAAATAGCTATCTTAAACCCGAGTTCAAAAGGTGATCCTACCAAGAAAAGCAGTAGGGGTGCTGGGGGCATTCCCTGAGATTTTAGTCACTTATTTTTGTTCATCTCTTGCACTTGGACTTGAGGCAGTGCAAGTTTGGCTTAATAAGGACGTTTGTATTTCATCTTTTAATATTTTCTTTTAAATGTTCATCTTTTAAATTTTAAAAGCTTTCACACCAACTTGTCTTGGCTGGGGAATTTCAGCAGCAGTGCAGATTGGCTAGTTCATAAGGAGGACTCTAAAATGCTTTGGGAACTGAAGCAATTAGTCTTCTCTTTGCCTTCTTGTGATAATTTTCAAACTATAAATTGCCAGTTATGTTGCTAGTGAATGCTAAACTGTATTTAGTTGAAGGGAGTCTTCATTAGGAAGGAATGTAGATAGAAGGTATGCAGCTTTAAACTCCTAGCCTGCATACAATGTGAATTACTGCTCTTTGAGGACACAGCATGCAGTCTTTTGTTTTAGTTACAAATTTCTTCTAGGAAAAGAGAGGGAGTTTTGCTAGCTGATATTTGTCAGCCAGCCTTCCTGGTGAAGGCAGTTCATAGTGCAGCAGTGCTCTGTGTGTTCAGCAGCTCACTGAGCACAGCAGAACGTGGCAGCAAAGGAGTCAGGCTCTGGTATCTGCCCAGGGCATTGCCTTGGTCAGGAGCAGGGCCTGCAGAGCACTGTTCTTGTTTTCACTCTTGATCAGCACAGGCGTGTTAATGGAACGCTTCAGTTTACATGAGGCTGTAGGTTGAAGAATGTCGGACATGCTTAAAATAATCTGGGAGATGTTAAAACTTTTCCTAAATTCCTCAAAATTCCAGAGTTTTTGGGAAAAGAGAATGTTTTCTCACCGTTGCTCCTTTCCTGGGGAAGCTTTCAGTGCTGAATGGAACTCAGCCTTAACGATTTCTGTGACGAGCTTGGTGGTTAGGTGAGCAGATAGCACCCGAAGGAGTTGTGTGTATTGTGCTGCTGTTGGTGCTGGGGTGACAAGGGGCCAGCACAGATGGCTGCTGCTGCCTGCTGCCCAGTGTGCTGTGCTGCTCCTCATGTCTGTGCCTTGGAAGCTTTGAGATACGTGCATCTGCTTGCTGGTGCAACATGTGAAGCACGTGGTTATCTTCAGGGCCGGTTATCCCCTGTAGTGAGGTGAGGATGACTGATTCCTGCATTATGGGCACACTGGAGCCCCAAGCCTTGGAAACATTAGAAGTGGAGTCATGCAGTGCGTCGTGGAGACTGTGCTCCTTGTTGTGTGCTTAACACCAGCTGTGGACCAAGGCCCACCAACCTGGACTTCCCAAGGCCTGCAGAAATCACATTTACTCTCACTGAGGATGCCAGGGCAGGACATAGGATATCCACACTCTCTGTAGTTCTGAGTGCAATGACTGAAGATCTTTGAAAACTGATTCCTGAGATTCTGGGTTGTAGCGTGCAAAAGATGAGACTGCTCCTGTTGCAGCTGCTCTGAGCCTCCCCTTGTCTGTCTGGCTCTAAGCTGTGTTTCCTTCATGTATTCTCATTGCTTGTCCTTCCTGTTCAAAGAAATGCTATATACCTGATCCACATGCTCCTAGTGCTTTAGTTTTTTGTGTGTGTTTGTGTTAATTTGCCTGTAACTAACTTTAGTCTGTCATCTCAGCTGGAGGGAAGCACCCATTTTAGGATATGAAGCTGACAACTTTAAATAAAATGTGCTGAGTAATTGGGAAAAAGTTGGTAAAGCACCCTTTATTTTCATGGTACAGCTCTGCTCCTGATATTAGGGCCAGCATCATAAAACAGGAAGCATTACTTTTGGAGCAGCCCTCACACATGGGTGGCTGTTGCCAGCAGAGGAATGGGGCTGTCGTGAGCAGGAAATTTTTTCATCATCCGAGCAGCTCAGATTACATGTTTTCATTAGACATCTGGGTGGATAATTGGTTCCTCACAAGTGGGTAGGTTAAAATAATCAGAGCAGGGAAGTTTTGAGTAGTTGCGTGCAATTTTTAGCTACCCATTCTCCCTGCTATCTCCTTCTTTGCATTTGTGAGCTCTTGCAGCAGGCTCCAAGTTCTGCTCTAATGCTGTGTGTAGGAAGCTGTTTGCAGGCAGGGGTGACTGGAAGCTCCTTCCTTTTTGCACCCAAGGTTTTTAAACCAATTTGACAAAATGCAGTGTATTTGCACAGGATACCGAGGTTTGATGGAAACCAGGAGCACCTCAGGATGCTGTGCCTGAAGTGTTTTAGAACAAAACGAGATTCACATGAAGGTAAACGTGTTGTACTGAACGTGGTATTTACACCCATGGACTGGTGAGTTGCTGCTGTGTTTCACTTTTGCCCTTTCCAGGAGAGGAATGAAGGAATTTAAGAATCATTGAGCCTGAGCTTCTCACCTGTCTTTGAGAGGTGACTTCCAGATTGCAGTGAAGGATTTGGTGTCGGTGTTCCAGACTTGTATTTATTCTGGATCCATTGGACAAATGGATGATGTGTCTGCTTTCCACAGCTGAGCACCTCACACCTTTCCTGACCCCAAACCGTTTTTGTTTCATGAGGGTTGATGTAGGGAAAGAAAGAAGTGAACGTCAACAGATCTGTACAGATGTCTTGAATCAGTTTCCAAATATGTAACAGTGATACAAAGGAACGTAATGAAGTCATGTGTTTTATCTTAACACTCCTTCAGTGTTAAAATTGGTTTTGCTGCATTTGATTATTAAAGTTCTGATGGGATCTTGCCTTAAGTTTTCCCAGGATTGAGCCACACAGGTAAAGAAAGCAGAGGCTGACTTTGTGCTTAAGGACTGGAAGTCATTTGCAAAGTGAGAATTTTTCAGGCTATCTCTAGAACATTCCTGGGAGGCTGGGAAGAGCTGCTTGGTTGTATGCAATTAAATTTTTCCTGCTGCCCTTTTTCTCCATCCCATATTCGGGAAAGAAAAGGTTCAGGAAGGGAAGGAAAGGTCCACTAGATAGGTTTATTTAAAATTAGATAAATTTGATGGAAGAAATTGCAAAACCAGGATATAAAGCCAATGTATTGTAACTACCAGGAGAAGATTTTGTGTTTGTTGTATCCAAGACCTTAAAATGCAGGGAGCTGATTCTCCATCACTAACCTGGTTACTCGTGCCTCATGCTAGAGGCTCACAGCGGCCTCAGAATCATAGAATCCTAAAGTCATAGAATTGCTCAGGTTGGAAAAGATCTTAAAGATTGTTGAGTCCGGCCATGACGCAGCCGTACTGCCCTGTGAAATGTCTTCAGTGCCTCCAATATTCTCAGGCTTTCCCCCCACCTTGTGCAACAGCATGCAGGTTCCAACTCATCTTCCTGCTTTCCTCTAATCATAGCTTTTTAATTTCCCCTGCCAGTGTGTTGTCTTTATTCTCTCTGGTAGGTTGTGGCATGCAGTTTGTTTACCTACATAAAGCAGAGGAACAAATGCAGCCCTTAATTTGCCCTTAATTGACTGCGTGTGCCTTTCGCTGACTTACTCAGTGATCTGTTGGCATGTTGGCAAGGCTCACCCTTCAGACTGCCTGCTGCTAGCACGTGTTGCACAGCACCACGGAGCCAACTTCATTTATTTTTTTGCTTTCGTTGGAGGGGTCAAGAAAAGGGAATCAGGTAGCAGGAGGAAGAAATCCTGAGCTGAGGAGCCTGGTGGAGGCTGAGCTCACACAGCAGCCAGGTGCACTCACTGCGAGCCCTGGGTGGATGCTGGGGCAGCTTTGGTGTTAAACCCACACTGACCAGAAACCAGAGATGTTCCCTGGGGGCTGTCTTAGGAGAGGGAGTTGAAAAGATGTGTAATGTAAGTCGTTTGCGCCGAGTCACACCGTGCATTTCCAGCCTGCAGGGGAAGCCCTGTGTATGTGTGCTGTTTGTTCACAGGGCCGAGGTTTGCAAGGGAAGCATCCTTAGATGCCTAAAGAGAAGGAGGTGGGGAATATTGTGTGATAGGAAAGGTGTTTTTGTCCTGAGAGAGACTGAACTGAGGCACTGCAAAGCTGCTTTGTTAACTGAACAAAGTTGTCAAAATATCTGTCCTTTTCAAACAGACCTCAATGGCCCACACAGGAAAAGCAAAAGCTGTTGACAAAAGGCTGTAATTCATACACCACAGCCTCCTTCATTGTTAAACATGGTTCTTTAATGCACTGTATCTGGTATGTGATTGATTTCCTTGTAGCCTGTTACCCAGCTGAAACCAGCAACATATCTGCTTTTTTGGTGTTTTTTTTTCCCTTGGAAATTGAGAATAAACGCAGCGCTCTTTGAAAATACTGAGTGCTGAGACCTTGTGGAGCTGCTGAGTGTCTGTGCTGGGCAGCTGCTTCATCAGTCTCTAGAGAACAGCGTTCAGAAAGCCCATCTTTTCTTTCCTGGTAGAAAAACTGGATATGCTGGTGAGACTCAAGGGTTAAATTCCCAACACTGTCGCATATGGCAGTGAGCAGAATCACAGATGTTGATGATACAACATAATTAGTATTCTTTTATGTAAATGAAGGCTGTCAATGTTACCATAGTGTCTATACTCTTTCAAGCTGGAATCTATGCGATGCCACTTGGTCTCTCCAAGCCTAGACAGGATTATTCCACAATTTTCTATCAGGACTTGAGCGGAAAAATAAAGAAGAATAGGGAAAGGAGGGAAGAAGGGGAGAGAAAGGTGAGAAGAAACGCCTCCAGTTTGGAAGGAGGAGACCAAAGCTGTGCTTTTGTTTACAGTAGGATTCTCAGAAGTGTCTTTGCAGGTCCTAGAATTTGTGAGAGAATGAACACAGTCCAAGTGAGAGCTGCAGCCAGTCTTGGAGCTGCTTTGGAGGGACATTGGAGTGGTTCGGGCACTGCAGAGTCACCGCGTTGGGACTGATTCTGAAGTGGCCGCTGGTGCTTTAATCTGAAGTAGAGGAGAGTTGAAGAATAAAAGGCCTTTGTGGTACATAGTTTTATTTGTCTTTTTCTTTAACAGATTTCGTCTTTAGCAGCAGCATCACTGGAAAAAGACTGCAATTGAGGTAAATGTGCATCATTTTAAGTCCGCTAAAATAAGTCGTCTTAGCCTGGTCAGACAGATTTTCTATATACGTTTGCAGGCAATCGTTAAATATTTATTCCATGGCTTTCAGAAAGTGTGCTCTTTCCTTTGTTATATTAAATCCTGTTCCTCAGAAAGTGTTCTGTTTTTCTTAAACTAAGCATTCTCTCCACCAGATCTGACACCATCTGTGACATCTGTAACCACCTTGTGTTTGTTATTGCTGTCCCTCCTCTCAGTACTGTGCATATTGCAGTTCTGTAGCCACAGAGACATAAGCAAGCTAATTTATTCTCCCTTGGATTATTACAACAGATACTTTATTTTCCCAATCTTTTTTGCAAACTGCAGGTTTTTCCAATCTTTCTTTCCCGTGTAGTTCTTATTCTGTTGCAGTTCATTCTTGAAAACCATTCGTGACTTCATTTTTGGTTTTGTTTCAAAAATCATCCAGAAATGAAATTTAATTCAGGAAAGATTCCCCCCACGCTGCTCTCCTCCCCCCTACTTTCACAAAGTCACCAAAGCAGCCAAAATTGAAGCCATCGCAGGAGATGCACGTTTTTGCTCCATGTTTTTGCTCAGATTTTTCCGCTGCCATATGTTGGGTCGCCCACTACAAAAGGCTGACGACGAAGAGGCTACATGTGATCAGCAGATTTATGGACGATCAGAAACGAAAACAGAAAAACGAAATTCCTGAGGGTCTCTTCCATGTGAAATTTCTTAACGTCTGCATGCTTGGGTTCCTAAGCGCGCTCGTGCTTGGACTTCCAGATAACTCTGTTCTCTGGGATAAACGTGTTCTCTGTAGCTGAGGGGATTAATTCTGTTCAAAGCAACCTTGCTGGCTTTCATAGTTTATGTGCATCACGAGAATACTCTCTCTCTCTAGGGCTTTGAAGCTGCGCTTCCTTAGGATGAAGACTTAAGTAGTAATTAAATTCTCGAAGAACCGCCAAGACTCCTTTGAATGAAATGGGGATGTTCCAGGCTCTGAGCATTGCGTTGGAGAGGAAGGAATGTTTCAACATGACTCAGTGAGTACTGCGTGTCAGCGGCTGGGGCTGGGTGCTGCTGTGGTGCTCCGATCTCTCTGGGTTGTGTTGGGATGTCGGGCTGCACAAAGCACCGTGGTGCTGCCAGCTGTGCTTTGGTGTTCTGCCTGTGCTCCTTGCACAGCCGAATCTCTCCTATAGAACACACAGGACAAGGGCTGAAAGCTTTTTCACACTACAATTATGATTGTAATACCCAGTTTGGAATTCTCTTCTGTTACAGTATATTAATTTAGAGAATCAGCTTTTTTGTTTGTGCGTTCATCACACACGTACACGTGCAGCCATTCCGTTAGGTTTACTGTAACAAGTTGTTACATATTTCATTTCTTCCCTGTGCTTATTTTTTTTAAACATTAGAACATTTGGGGAAGTGAGGGGAAGTTGGAGACCTCAGGTAGAATGTAGAGCTGTGGGTTGCGTATAGATTGGTTCTGGTTATGGCAATTGTCTGATATTTTCATGGCTTCTGTGGAAAGCTGGAACCCTTGTCTGGTTCCTGATGACATGCATTCGAATTCCAAATTCATTTCATACGTATCAATTTCCAGAGGGCAGCTAAAGATCAAATGTATGTGTGGACTGAATTAATCTTTTTCTCTCTGGAAAAACCCCCACAGTTTGGGTAGAGCGTGCTGGCAGCTGTCTGGGCCATCCTTAGCACACAGTTAGACAGTTTGATTCTGTATGGTTTGTCAGTCCAGTATTTTTTGCTGGTAATGAAAACTGCATTTAAAGAAATTGTGCATGAAAATAATGTAGTTGGCCGAAGGAAAACTGTGAGAGGAATAACACAACACCTGTATTTTTGTAGGTCTTTACATCTAGTACAAAAAAGATCATTTTAGATGTGTACTGGCTCAGAGATTTTTTTATTTTTTATCTTTTTTTGCCTTACAAGGTCAAAGCAGCGAAGACTTTTGTAAGAGATGGATAGATGCAAACATGTTGGGCGGCTACGACTCGCCCAGGACCATTCTATCCTGAACCCACAGAAGTGGCACTGCGTGGACTGCCAGACAACTGAATCGATCTGGGCTTGTCTGAAATGCTCCCATGTAGCCTGTGGGAGGTACATGGAGGAGCATGCACTAAAACACTTTGAAGAAACCAGACATCCATTGGCAATGGAAGTGAACGATCTGTATGTATTTTGTTACCTTTGTGAAGATTATGTCTTGAATGATAACCCGGAGGGGGACTTGAAATTGCTGAGAAGTTCCCTGTCAGCGATTAAAAGTCAAAAACATGATCCATCAACGAGAAGCGGGAGGACGCTGCGATCCATGACTTTGGGAGAGGACGTGTGCAGCCATCAGAGGAGCCCTCAGGGACAATCTCAGATGCTTACAGCTCTTTGGCACAGGCGCCAGTCTTTGCTTTCCAAGGCACTGCGGACCTGGTTTGGTAAGAGCTCCAGAGGCCAGCTGAAGTTACAGCAAAAGAAGCAGATGGAGGAGTTGGAGAAGAAGAAGGAGGCGGCGAGGCGACGACGGCAGGAGATGAAGAGACAGCTTCTGGAGGAGCTGGCAAACACTCCTCCGAGGAAGAGCGCGAGGCTGCTGTCGCACGTGCACAGAGAGAACTTGATTCCAAGGAAATTCAGGGAGGTGGCGACTGCTTCCCCTACCTCAAGGCAGATGCAGAGCAGCAGATTGAATCAGTTTTATTCCATCCGGCGTAAGCATCTGATGACTCCCGGGGTGACGGGTCTGAGGAACCTGGGAAACACATGTTACATGAACTCTATTCTGCAAGTGCTGAGTCACCTCCAGAAATTTAGAGAATGTTTTTTGACACTTGATCTCTGTGAAACGGAAGAACTCTTGGCCAAAACTGTGAACGGGAAGTCTAGGTTGCCTGGCAGATTGGCAAATGGATCTGCTGCTAACGAGTCAGGGAGGACTGACAAAGTGGGATCATACGGCACGCAGAGCTTGCCAGCTGGCTTAAATGGCAGCTCCTCAATAAGCAGGAGTTTAGAACTAATACAACCCAAGGAACCGCGTTCAAAGCACATCTCCCTCTGTCACGAATTGCACACCCTCTTCAGAGTGATGTGGTCTGGCAAGTGGGCCCTTGTGTCCCCGTTTGCCATGCTGCACTCTGTGTGGAGTCTGATCCCAGCGTTCCGAGGTTACGATCAGCAGGACGCTCAGGAATTCCTATGCGAGCTGTTGGATAAAGTGCAGCAGGAGCTGGAGTCGGAAGGAACAAAGCGCAGGATCCTCATCCCTTTCTCGCAGAGGAAGCTCACCAAGCAGGTCCTCAAGGTGGTGAACACCATTTTTCACGGGCAGTTGCTCAGTCAGGTACGCACCTGGTTTTGCACAGAAATCAATTGGAGTGGTTAGCACCAAGAAGCAAAGGTTTCGTTTCTTCAGAAACCACCAAATACTGAGAGGAATTGATTGGGAATGCCTCCTGAGAATGAAAACTGCTTAATTGCTGTGCAGGTTCTCAGGGTTTTGATGCTTTTCACATCTGTTGTTAATTTAGTGCCACTTGGGGATGACATCTGCTCTGGTATGGAAGTTCTGAGCTCTTAGTTTTAAGTTTATTGTGTTTTTAAAGTATCTTTGTAATTTTTATCTCTTTGTTTTTGTTTCTGTGGCTACAAAGAATATGATGAAGGACAGAGGGCAGTCATCCTATGCTCTGAAGAAGAAGCTATTCATGACAGTTTTTCTTTGCAGGCATTTGAATGTCATCTTGAGATTCTGAGTGTGCTTAACATGTTTCTGCAGCAGATGATTGCACCCGCGCTGTCACACTGCTTGATCTCTTATTCCTGTGCCATTGCCCTGTCTGAAACACATTGTGCCCACAAGGCTGACCCTCAAGCACAGTGTGTGTGAACATCCTCAGCTACTTTTGCTTTTCAGGAGAAATGAATGTGTACATAACTTGATGCTCCAAGGCCTGCAGGGTCGGACCACGAGGCGCCCTGTGTAGGTGTGATCTCTTTAGTATTTGTGCAGTTTTCCTAGTGCCAGTCTTACTAAGCTTACCACTCATAAGGACTCATAAGTGCACATTAAATATTAAATAGAAAAGGTGTATTTTTCAAGTTAAAGCTTTTGTTTTTTTAGGGAAAGAATGCTTGAAGTCATGCTTCATCTGAGTCATCTTTGCATTGCATGAAATTCTTGTGTGCTTCTTAACCAATCATTCTTTATTCAGCCCTGTCTCTTGGCTGGAGTTGTGTTGTGCCCAAGGTCAGTGTTTCTAGTTAACTGTGGGAAGATGTTCACAAATCGTGTAATTTATCTGTTATTATTTACAGTGCTGTAAATAACTGGACAAGCTGTTTATTCAGCGTAACTTGTATACAGAGTCTGGGTTTAATTTTAACCCCTCTAAGACTTCCTTCCTTATCCACAGTGACTTGCAGTCACTGGTGCCTTCAGTGGATGGAGTTGGCTGGAGAGCCAGGGCCAGGCTGGAAGCTGACTTCCTGGTGGATGATTTCCATAAGAATGCAAAGTCTGAATCTGCTCTCTGGTTTCGTTACCTCTTCGTTTTCTCGCTTGTTGCCTCTGAGTTTAGTTGAGAACGTTTCTCCTGTTCTCACTAACAGTACCCCAGGATGATGTGAGAAAACAAGTGCTTTTGAAGTTTGTCTTTTTGTGCTCCAGTCATGAATAGTTTTTGCATAGTTAGCAGATGAAATGTGCAAGGAAAATAGAGAAACAGTGGGAGGAAATGGCACAATAAACGCTAACGTTTACTGGTTGCAATTCCAAACTGCTTATTGCCAGCTGTGAGGAAACCTCATGCCTGTGTTACACCTGTAATGTTCTTCCTCTGAACACCATGCAGGTGAATATTGTCTCCATCTGAGGGAAGTAGTTTAACTTACTTGCTCAGGATAGGTTTAGCTTTCAAACTGGAAGCAAGCAGCATTTCTCTTGACCAACTGAGTGTTTCTGTGTCTGTGGAAGCACACTGCCTTCTGGGCATGATGGTGCTGTTGAGGTGTGAGTGTAAATGCCTGTCTGCAAGTGTCCTTTGCATAACTTCATCTGTGTGTAAACGTTTTAATTCCCAGGTCACCTGTATAACATGCAACTACAAATCCAACACCGTTGAGCCCTTTTGGGATCTTTCCCTGGAGTTTCCTGAGCGCTATCACTGTATTGAGAAGGGGATTATCCCTGTTAACCAGGCAGAGTGCATGCTGACGGAAATGTTGGCCAAGTTCACAGAAACTGAAGCTCTGGAAGGGAGGATATATGCGTGCGACCAATGCAACAGTAAGTCCAGAGCTGCTGCTGGCTTTGCCAGTTAGAAGCACCGTGTTTTCCAAGTGAGAGGTTTCTGTTCTCAAGACAAAACATATATGTTGTAACCAGTACATATATTGCTGTTCATGCTGTTTTGTATCTTCCTGCTGGTGGCTTCGGCTGCTCCTTCAGGAATCAGTTTGGAACCAAAAAGTCATTCTTCTGTTGTCTCTGCTACTGAGCAGTGCGATTTACCAAGGATTTAATACAGCTCTGCTTAGAGCTGCTCTCACTCTGTGTGTTGGAGGGAAGGCAACTGCAAGAGTTTGGATGCAGAAGGGTTGGACTTAAGGACAGAAAGGGGCCATTATACTGTATGTTTTTCACATCTGTGTGGCAGGAAAGCTGTTGTGACAGGTTTTCTGTATGTCATCTGTTCCCTCGTGTCCCTTAACCAGAAATCACAACCGTGGATTTCTCACATGTGCCACCAGGTTAGTTTTTCTATCTCTCTGTTGGTGTTTGGACAAAAAGCAATGAACTGACATTATTATGGAAGGTTCAGGTTATTATATTGCCTGTTATTTGAATGCATGTATTTTTCTGCGCTCAGCTGGAAGATTATTTCTGCTTTCCTGCATAGGTCTGACTGTAAGATCACAGAATCACAGAATTGTAGGGGTTGGAAGGGACCTCCAGAGATCATCGAGTCCAACCCCCTGCCAAAGCAGGTTCCCTACACCAAGATCATTATATGAAAATAGTTTTACCCTTGTGTCTAATCATGTAGCTCAGCTACTCTGATAAGCTGGATTTGAAATTTTTGTGTGTAGGTTTTTATGGCAAATATTCCTCCCCTTGTGTGGAAAATCCCAGTAATTCAACTTACATGGCAACTAAGCAGCTTAAGCAGCAAGCATTCATAGAAATCTTTTGGTATCAGTGTGTGAATCTGCTCTTGAGCGTATTCCCAAAATGTTAGGGAGTAACCATTCTCTTAGCTGTTCTGAAAGCCAAATACAGCTCAGATTCACAAGTAATGTTTGCAGAGTGTCAGCACGGACGAGTGCGGCTTTTACCTTAACTCAGTTTCCTGTGGTTCCTTGTGAACACCAGAGTTAAATGGCTGCAGAAATACTAACCAGCTAAAAAAAAAAGAAAAAAAAAGGCAGAGGCAGATAGCCTGCATCTGAGCGCCAAAAACTACTGGGGGCACTGCCTGTCAGATGAGATAGAGGAGGAGCAACCATCTGTTCCAGCCTGGTGCGGTGAGATGCAGAAGTCTAATTAGCAGGTACATTTCTTATTGGAAGCGCTGACAGCCACCTGTCTTCCTCATGGTGCAGTTGTATGTTTGGTGTACTGGAAAGAGTGATCACTGGGAAGAGAAGCCTTTCTTCCCTCTTCAGTTTCTGTTTAGCAGTTCCTGTTCCTTTGTGAGCAGTCAGAACTCCTGGAAGGCGAACCTTGCTGGAAGCATTTTTCCTCTGACTTGGATTAATATCTTAGAGCCATCTTGTGATGGCCTGGTAAATGGATCAAAGTAGTACTTTAAAGAATACGGTGTCAAGGGCTGTGATTTGAATGCTGGTAGTTCACCTGTTGAAATTGCTGCAGCCCTGGGTGCCATTGGCCTGGCTTCCCCTAAATGCTTTGGTGCACTTGTTAGAGCAACAAGTCAGCACAAACAGCTCAAGGTTTGATATCTGATTGTGTGATTATCAGCATCACAAGAGGAAAAAAAAAAAAGAAAAAAGCTTTAGATATTTTCAAGCATGGCTTTTATTTCTAGGAAAGTTGCTGATTTGCAGAGGCGTGCATAGGTTGGAAGTGCAAGTAGACACACCTTGAGTGTTTGTGAGGTGGACTGTTGCTACTAGAAGAAAAACAGGCTCTTTTCCATAAAAAATAACAGTAATGGCACCTTAACAATCTTTGCTGTGATTTTTTTTTTCCCATAGGCAAACGACGAAAGTCTTCTCCCAAGCCTCTTGTTCTGAGTGAAGCTAAGAAGCAGTTGATGATCTACAGACTACCTCAGGTCCTCCGGCTGCACCTTAAACGATTCAGGTGAGTGGGGCAGCGCGGGGAGCTGCCAGGCACACAGCTGCTGTCTTGTGGGAGAGAAGTGGTCAGCGTGGCCTCTTAGCTTCCCTTACCTTCTGAGCAGTGTGTGCCTATAGATGTTTTACCCAGCCCAGCTGTGTGATGCACACTGAGTAACACTAATGTTAAAAACTGATGTTTGTCCCATGTTTTCATGCGGTGCAGCGCGTTGTGAATTGTGCTCAGCAAATCTGTCTGGTCTTGCAAACAGCTTGAAGCAGTGGCTGTGAGGCAGGTAAACTGATCTGCTGAGTGAAAGATGGGATGATTTTACTGCCTGTATCAGCTCTTTACCTATTGAAGTAAGACTTAAACACAGTTGAAAATACAAAGTTTCTAAAATGTTAGTGTAGGTAATTATGAGATGTGAGAATTTTATATTTGTATAATTGTGCTTGACCTTTACATTAGGTGTTCTGTTTTCTTGAAATTGGCTGTTATAAATCTAAAACATACCTTCAGCTAATAAGCATCAGGGACAGAAGGAGTTTTATGCCAAAGATGACCGCAGTAGATGTTAAAGTGACAGCAGATGAAAAAGTTGTGGTGCCTACTTGAAGGAAAACTCCTCAAACTGTGCTGCAGTGCTCCTGAGTCCGTCTTCCATTCCTGCAGCCCTCTGCCACTGCCAAGAAAGATTCAGAGGCTTTGATGATGCTCTTGTGTTTGCAGGTGGTCTGAACGCAATCACCGTGAGAAGATTGGGGTCCATGTCCTCTTTGACCAGGTACTAAACATGGAACCTTACTGCTGCAGGGACTCTCTCTCCTCTCTTGACAAAGAGACCTTTGTCTATGACCTCTCCGCTGTGGTGATGCATCATGGTAAAGGGTTTGGCTCAGGACACTACACAGCATATTGCTACAACACAGAGGGAGGTGCGTGTGCCTTATTACAGGGAAACAAATTCAAGAAATCTGTGTTTTATTCCATAGATGTAGTGTATTGTAAAGCTTCATGTCACGGTTGTTTAGAAACAAGTTTCCTGACACTCAGTAGTTTGTTTCCCAGCATGTAACACTGGTAGCACGTTTTCTTTTTTTTTTTGATGGTGTGTGTGTAAAGAGCACAGATTGCTGCTCTTTGCTGTGCGGCGCTTTGGGATGCCTTTTATTGCTCACTGTTAACAGCATGAATGCTTCATTTTCTCACGGGATGTAACTCTGTGAAGCTAATCCAGCTGGGTCTTTTCTCAGCATCCTTGGGATGGTGAGATAAACAGAAAGTGTTTTGAAACTGGACAGGAACTATTCATGAATGACATCCTCAGGGTTTTTGTGAATTTCCAGCAGTCTCTTTCTTCAACTGAATCAGCACTATTTCTGCCTTTTAACTGATGGAGAAAGAGGTACAAATTGGCTTTCTCCAGGGAATTCTTATTTTCCTTATTGAGTTTTGGGGCCATCATGTGAAATTGGTTAAATTATCATTTGATATTTGTCAACCGTGTTAACAGCACAGAAGTGGTAAAATGTTTTCCATATTAGAAACTCCTTCGGAAAGCTTCATTAGGGGAAAAGGCAGAGGTGCCTTTTCTCCTACATAACCCTTTTTCTCTGGGATGTCTGCTATGAACAATTCCAGAATGCAATTGGAAATTATTGAGTCCTGAAGGAACTGGCTGATGCAGTCACCAAGCCACTCGTAATGATATTCGAAGTCACGGTGATCAGGCAGAGGTCCCTGGTGACTGGAAAAAAGGCAGAATAGCACTCATTTTTTAAGAAGAGTAGAAAGGACCCAGGGAAAAAGCACCTTGTCTGCCTCCCCTCAGCACCAGAGGAGACCATGGAGCAAATCCTCCTGGAAGCTATGCTAAGGCCCGTGAAAGAAAGGGAGGTGCTATGGGATAACCAACATGGCTTCCCCAAGGGCAGGTCCTGCCTGACCAACCTTGTCACTTTTTACAGTGGTGTAACTGCAGCAGTGGACAGGGGAAGAGCCTCTGATACCCTCTGTCTGGACTTCAGAAAGGCCTTTGACATCGTCCCCCACGACATCCTTCCCTCCAAGTTGGGAAGATACGATGGGTGGACCATTTAATGGAAGTGGTTACAGGATTGTACGTAGAGAGTGGTGGTCAGTGGCTCAGTGTCCAGATGGAGATCAGTGATGAGTGGTGTCAGGGGTTGGTACTGGGACCAGTGCTCTTTAACATCTTCATCAGTGACATCAACAGTGGGATTGAATGCAGCCTTAAGAAGTTTGCAGATGACATCAAACTGTGTGTGGTGAGGTCACACACCTGAGGGATGGGATACCACCAAAGAGATCCAGACAGGCTGAGCAAGTGGGCCCAGGAGAACCTCATGGGTTCAACAAAGCCAAGAGTGAGGTCTGCACCTGGATTGTGGCAGCCTGCACTCAGTACAAGCTGGAGGCATGAGGATGGAGCACAGCCCTGCCAGAAAGGACCTGGGGGTGCTGGTGGGTGGCAGCTGGGCATGAGCCAGCACTGTGCCCTCACAGCACAGAAAGCCAACCGTATCCTGGGTGCATCCAAAGCAGTGCTGCCAGCAGGGCCAGGGAGTTGATCCTGCCCCTCTGCTCTGCATTGAGACCTCACCTGGAGCACTGCATCCAGATGGGGAGTCCTGAGCACAGGAGGGATGTGGAGCTGTTGGAGCACATCAGAGGAGGGCCACAGAAATGGTCCCAGGGATGGGACACTGCCCTGCAAGGACAGGCTGAGAGCTGGGGCTGTGCAGCATGGAGAAGAGAAGGCTGTGGGGAGATCTGAGAGTGGCCTTCAGTATTTAAGCGGGGGTTAATAAGAAAGAAGGCTTTGTAGCAGGGTCTGTGTGATAGGACAAGGGGAAATAGTTTCAAACTGAAAAAGGGGAGATTTATATTGGGCATAAGGAAGTAGTTTTCTACAGTAAGAGCAGTGAGGCATTGGAACAGGCTATCCAGAGAAGTGGTGGATGCCCCATCCTTGGAGGCATCTGAAGTTAGGCCTGACCAGGCTCTGGGCGTCCTTACTGAGCAGCAGATGTTCCTGTTCATGGCAAGGGAGTTGGACTGGGTGATCTTTAATGGTCCCTTCCAACTCAGAAGATGCTATGGGTCTCTGATGCCTCCCCACTAATGTCTTCTTTCTGACTTTGAATCCTAGGTTTTTGGGTCCACTGCAATGACTCCAAACTGAATGTATGCAGCGTGGAGGAGGTGTGCAAAACCCAGGCCTACATTCTTTTTTACACTCAAAGAACCGTGCAGGACAAAGCAAGAATCTCAGAAAAACAACTCCAAGCTCAGGTGCTGTCCAAAAATACTGATAAAGACAGAAGACTGACATTCCCATGATGGGAAACTCTATGACTCAATTAATGGTCTCTTGTTTGTTTGTTTTTGTTTTTTAAACCATTGGTGTTCGCATCTTTCCTCTCCGTAGGGAAAAGGGCTGGCTGCAGGAAGGGGATCAGGTTGTGGTGTTGTTTGCCCAGGTTTGGAGAAGTGTATCAAGCTGTGCAGTTCTGATATGTAAGACTGTAGTCAGAAACTTATTTTTAAACAAGGTTGTTGAATTACTCAAAGCAAAGAGTTTGATGCTTTGTATCGTTAGTCTCATATTAAAATGGAATTGAGTAAGGCATATAGGAAATGAGCACAACCAAGAAATAGCAGCATTCAGCTGGTATCACAAAACCTTCAGATCGTCGTAGTGCTGATAAACCTCCAGAAGGAGCAGGTTTAGTACCTTCCTTTAACTGTCGTTAGGATTTCCACCCGGGTATTTCTTTTATGGCTGTTGAATAGTTGGAGCTGGCTGCCCTAAAAGCCTTTCTTGCTGAAGAAGTGTTTGACATTCATCAGCAAGAAGAACTGTTGCCCAGCCCTCAGCTATCTGTGGTACCGATTTCTTTGCCCTCAGATAAAGGCAAACAAATGGCTGGCAATTTCTTTCAATAGGTCTTTTTCTCAGTGTTACTGGGACTTTATGCACACTTGATAGTCTGCTCTCTAGGCTGAGCTGAACTGGCAGCTAAATTTGCTAGGAATGTAATTCTGGAAACAGTTCTGCTCTGGAGAATGTTTTTTGTTTTATTTTTTAAAACAAATAAAAAAACCAAACACCTTGTAATAAAACAAGAACGTACCTGTGTGATCAGAGTCACATCTGTTTGCACTGGCAGCAAAAATAAAGGCCTACACTGCACGTTTCTGCTGGCATAACTTTGCTGATCAGGGTTAGAAAGAAGTGAAAACCCTGACTTGCACAGCTGCGACAGCAGAAGCAGTGACTGGGAGGCAACTTACACTGGCAGACGAGCACTTTGTTTTGGTTTGGTTTGTTTTCCAAGGGAATAGCGTGGAGGTGACAGCAGTCGGAGCCAGAGTGAAGTGCTGCTGACTGCACCTGCAGTGGCAATACTGACAAACTGGTTGTCACACGAGGCCCTGAATGACTGAAGGCAGTCATGTTGGTTCTTTTTTTCTTCTTTCCTGAGGCAGCTATGGGTTGAAGCATGCAGTTCTTCAAGCACTTGATGCAGTGTTCAGGTAGGAGAGCTGGAAGCTTGTTTTTCTTCCCCTTCCTACTTTCATCCTGGCTGGCATTGGCCATCAGCCACAAATTGACAGCTGTGCATTATTGTTGGAGTGGGCAAAGAGGAAAATCCCCCAAACACAATTCCTCTTTTTTCACTGCTGCTACTTCAACTTTTGATTTCCTGTGGGCACTTCAGCTGCTGTTAATCACTTCAGTCATGCAGAGATGAGCAGAGCAAACAAGAAACTCCTCTTTTGTTAGAGCGCAGCGCCGCTCCACGTCTCCTCTGTCCATAAAGAATCCCATTTCCTCTGCGTCTGAGCAGTGTGCCACTTTTTCAGCCTACACAAACTGATTTTTAGCAATTAAGAATAATTTGAGTTTATATGCTTGCTTTATTTTGTGGAGGTTTTTTTTTGTTTGTTTGTTTGTTTTTAGACAAACCAGTTTGAAACAGTCTTATGGGAACAAATTAAAAGATTTTAATTCTGTTTCTCTAAATGTTGCATGGTCTGGAAGGATTTCCTGTGAATGTCTGCATATCTACGTGTTTACTAGGTAGCTTTTTTTTTTTTCCCTACTAGTAATAAAAATAAATAAAAATATTATAGGCCAGACTGAGGTACAGAATGACCCAGCTTAGTGCAGGGGAAGCTGGTCTGGCTTCAGCACAGGCAGAAGTTGACATTCATGAAAGAATGAAAATGAAATGCTTGTGGTGTTCAGAACTGTGCTGGAGGCTTCATTAGAGCAGAGTGCAGCTTTGTGGAGACTGCTTGTCTCACAGGGAAAATGAAAGGAAAAAAGGTGTTCGGTGCTGCCTCCTTAATCTCAGAAGTGAAGGGAAAATGGGGCAGTCATGTTTGCTGTGACTGCCAAATACTGTGATTGCATCCTGCATCCCTCACCGTGCGGGCCGTCTGTGTGCAGATTGATGGTTGTTGCTGTAGTGAGCCAAGACTTTGCTACGAATGCTCATCTTTTGACTGAGTGTTTTGCATTAGTATTTGTATTCAGGTAGAAATAGGGTTGTCATGTGAATGGACTAGATTACAGAGGGGGGTGGGAGCAGCCCATTAGCCGTGGGTGCAGCTGGTGCCCCGCAGGTTGTGTCGTGTTTGCTGTTGACAGTTTTGACATTAGTGACCTCTCCATGTAGCCTGGTTGCGCTGGGACGTGGAGATACTGCGGTCAGAAAAATATTGCCCTGATAGGGAAGGAATGAATTATACTTCAAAGTAAACTTGCTTTTTCCAGCACTGTGAGGCTTCTGAGATATTCAGCTTTTATTTGGAAGCGATAGCGTATAGCATTTTTTATGCTGTTTGGTTTCTGTTGGTCTGCTGTAGGCATCTTCATATAAGCATAGCTCAGTGTCCCTGCCGTGGTGACACTGTTCTATAGTGTCTTGTTTGCCAGAAATAAAATTGGAAGTTACCTCTTTATATTAATAAGACAAACATCAAGCTTGCGATGACTGTGAAGCCCACTGAAGTGAATGCCTGCCCGTGGGCTGCCTGTAACACAAGCTCTGTCCCTCCTTTAATGGTGTGGCTTGAAATCCTTCTCCAATCCAGGTGTATATTCAAAATCATTCCAAATGTAGGCTCTACTCCTGCAAGCACCTACACAACTGATCTAACTTAACTCAGGTGTGGAGGTGACGCTTTTGAGTCCCAAGCTCAGTGTCTGCAGGATCAGAACCTTTGTTCTGGTTGAACTGGGAGTGGAATTTGTTTCTGTACATGCAGGCACACCTGTGCTGGGGTTTCAGTCATGTAACAAGAAGCCAGATGCCTTGAGAGATGCTGAGAGCAAGTGTTAGACTCCTGGCACTGTGCAGGTTGCTGTCTGAAGGCAGAGCAAACCACAGGACACTTGCAGGCTGTCAGGCTTGTGAGTACGCAGCTCTTGGCACAGAACTGTTCCCAGCACAACCTTCTTCTCTTCAACTTGTTCGTAAACCAGTGTTAATTTTAAGAATGAAGAACCTTAATGTGTTCGTGGCCAGATAGGCTGCAACATTGGCTGTAGTTACTGGGAAATACTTTATTTTAGTTAACATTCTGCCTCTAGCAAGTTAGTTGCGTAAATTTGCCTTTGTTACCACTTTACCACCTGCATGCCCAAGTTGAACTATGCATACTGCAAAAACAGTTTCTCTGCAAAGCAATGGGGGAAAAAAAAAAAAAAAACACAACAAAAAAAAGACACTTTTTTCCCCCGCTGTTTCCAACCAGAACAGTTCTCTGGTCTGGTTTGAAGTTCTCTCACAGTTCTCTGACAGCTTTGAAGCTGTCAACATGAAGCAGCAAACAGAATAATGTGCATTAAGTGTGTGACATCAGACTCTTCTTGGTGGCTGTGTCACCCCCATTTCCTTAGGGGATTCCAGCCATTCTTTTTCAGCACAGGAATATAATTGGAAACAGTAAAAGCACTGAGTGCATCCTGTGGACTCACTGTCAGAAGTTATTTTTGCTTCTAAAAGGCAAAAGCCATCTTCCTAATGTCCAACTTAAATCTCCTCACTGTTAGCTTGAGACCATTTCCCCTTGTCCTATCACAGCCCCTGCCAGAGTCTGCCCCCTTCTTTCTTACAGCCCCTTCAGGTACTGAAATATTGTCCTGGGGGTAATTTAGACACACTTGTGTTGATTGTAACATCCCCAGGCCCGAATGTGCTTAATTGCATCCTGACAAAACTTCTGGCTGCTGCCAGACCCCAGGATAAGCTCCAGTGGAAGTAACAGTACTGCAAAATGAGAAGTATTTATGGAAGATACAATAGACAGGATTAGTTTTACCTGCCAGCACAATTTAGTGAGCTAATTTTGTATGATTCCTTAGATTTGGTGCTTTGTATCCAATAACATTTTGCATGGAACAGAAACACTGGAGAACTAAGTCCTGACTGAAGCAGCAGATTTGTGTTTTGTAGGTACTCTCAGCATCACTGGCATCTTCACATTTCATGTCCATATGAAGAAGTTGACCAGCAAGCTCAGAGGCTATGATTTTATCCTTACATGTTTGAAATATCTGTATATGTCATAATTCAAGGAATGGCTTGTTCAGAGGCCAATTGGATTTAGATTTTCTCATGTCATCCAGCCCCTTCCAGTCAGTCACTAAGCTGAGCTCTGGCAGAGCGTGTGGTGCAGAGCGAGGAATCAAAGCTCCATGGGGAGCTTTTGGTAGAGGAGCTGTGCCTATGGAAGGGGCCTTCTGTCCCAAACCTGGGTTTGGATATGAAACCTCAATTTAGTGGTATCTCATGTCCGTTACATTAATACTGATGCTTGCTTATTGCAGATGGGAATCTGAAGCATTCCGGCAGGCTTTTGAATTTTGAAACCCACAGCATAGACTGAATGATGAAAAGCAGAATGTGTTTGTCACCTGTACCTGTTGGTGATTATCTGTCTTAGTTGATTTAAGGGGTGTCCTTTAGGCCGCTCCTGTTGTGCTTGTTTTATTTTAAATTCTGTGATTCTCTGTGTGTGAATGGGTTCCATTTGTGTAAATGATAATTTGCATGGTGGGCCAAAACAGTTTTGAGAGATCCGATAGTCCTACTAATGCAGTTTGGAAAGTACATTTCCAGAAGGGAGGGTGGGGGGTAGAGAGAGGAGGGGGAAAAAAAAGACAAGACCAGCCCAATGGGCCCAGAATTGGCTTTAACCACTGCTATTTATTGTCCTGAAGTGTATGCATGATATGGAGGAATGCACTACAGTTACAGAGCAGTGCTGTGCTACTGATTTTGTGCAGGCTGGGGGCCAGGAAGGAGAAAGAGAGAATGAAACAAGGGGACAAATAAAGCCAAGCTGAGCACAGCAGCGATCTACTTCCAGGAGAAATGGGAAGCACTGGATTTGGTGACCTTATGTGTCAGAGGATCATGTATTTTGCAGGCAGGGACATTAACAAAATCCAAATGCAGTCTCATCAGCTGCAGTCTGGGTGCAAACATTTCTCCTACTGGTAATCTCATACTGCCAAATGAATGGTGCTTCTCCATTAAGTATTCCTAAGGAACGGGACCCCAAATTCTCGAGTTTTTAGAAGGAGCTGCCTACTTAAAGCCCCCCATGTCACTGTAAATGCTTGTGTAGCTGGAAGTGAAACAAGAGATCATGCAGCTGATGATTTGAACGCCATTTGATTTGTACTTCTTAGTCTCAGTAACGTGCTTTCCGTGGAGGCGGCAGGTGCTGAATGTGATTCTTTCCGTGCTGAACTGCTGGGTCTGGCCCTGACTCCTCGAAGTAGGACTTTGCGGGGTAGAAAAGGGCTCCCTCTGTGTCTGCTCCTGTTTTACACTTTCCATGTGAGCACATCTTCATTGGAATGTAGGGCTTTTGAGTGCTTCTCCTCTTGAAGAGGAACAAAGAGGAACAATCGCCCCTCCAGCACGGCAGTGCTAAGTGTGGAGAACTTAGGCTGTAGCCTTCTCTCCTTAGAGAACCATATCCATGCTATGGGGATAATTGTTACACTGAGTCAGTATGAGTGAATCAGTGCAGCGTCTGTGGATTCGCGAGGCTAAAGAATGTATGATAACATGGACAAACCAGAGCTTTGCAGATGAGCAATGCCACTGCCAGCTTGTGGGGCACTGAACGGAATCTGTAGCTGAGGAATTCAGGTGGCTTACCCACGTGGCTCCTCCTTTGCACAGGGAGTGCAATGTCTGTTCTGCACAACTCTGTGCCTCTGACTCATGAACTCTTCCTAGCTCATCTTCATCCTCCTCATATTTATTAAATGAAGTTACGAAGCCTGGCCCTTATGGCTGTTGCCTACTGCTATGAGATGAACTCCAAATATCCATGTGAAAACCAAGTGTACAGCTTGTTTGTCAGACGTGCTGAGTACAGGAACATGCCACTAGCAACCTTCAGCCCATTTGGAAGAGGCCCTGTT